TTGCAAATAAACGAGGACCCGTTCATTTAGTCTTAACAAAGTCAATTCGGTTAGGGGTTGCTCGAAGCTTTGATTAAAGATCTTTTTCATTTTTGCAAACTGATACTAGAACTCTCGTTTAGACACTTCTGTGTAATTCAAGATGGCCTACCCGAGTTCATTCGATGGCTTGATCGATCGAGCCACTTAACATTTCAAATTTCCCGCACTTACTATTAGTCACTTCTGAGCCGAGCAAAAGTTCGTTTGGCTGCTTTAGACTTTACGTCGAGCATCTATGACGACTTTATCTAGTGTACGTACTGGACTTGAGTTGTAATTTATTTTTTGTAATGGAAATGCAGAAAATTGTATGGCATAAAAAAATCTATTTATTTTCTTACGTGCTATCAAATTTTCTTTTCTTTTGATTTATTCACGGTATACAATTTTTATATTATACTTTTTTCCGTTTGCAACGATCCTCTGTGCTTTGCTTCTTTAAAGCTATCGGATATGTATTTTCGTGCTTTGAAATTTTATTCAGGAAATTTTCCATTCGGTATATTTGCCACTGGATCCTGATAAAAAATATTATAAGTATGATAGCGTCCCGAGATCGCGAGGGTCTGTGGATTGCTTTGATGATTTTCCGACGTGTGGGATGAAGGATAAACTTGTTTATATCGCTGTAAGTATGAACATGTGGAATGAATGTATGGTACATACGAGGTTATTTCATATGGTATTTCGATCGCTGACTTTTTACGCTACATTGTTCAATGAGATATTGGCAAACCTGTCACAAAATGGTCAATTTCGAAAATTTAGTATCTTGAATTGTACGAGGGGACCCGGCTGACAGGTTTACAATCGCGAATGAAATGGCCACCAGAACCACTAACCAGGGCGCAGTGACGAACATCTGATTTATGGCCAACCAATTTCAATGCAACATGGTACTTTTGGAATTTGTCCATATAGTGTTCATATATTGGGAAGAAAATATTAGCCTTTTTTTTTTGGTTCATTAAAGTTTTAAGTGACTCTCATATTTTGTACGTCAAAACAGTGAATCTCGAGTTTTGCAGTTTTGGATCTAAAAGATTATACAGCATTAAAAGAAGATATGCATATCGTTCTATAATATATTTACGTGTAAGTGTAATTAATTAAAATCCCTTTTGTGTTTGCAACGAAGCATCTTTTTCATATCCTTTTTTTTTACGCAACCACTGCATTTTATATAGCTATACTAAAAATATGCTGATAGGCACATGACTTACGTCATATTCAGCTTTTCTTTGACGTATCCAAAAATAGTTGAACGTTTCGTCTTTGTCCGATTATCCCTTTTTTTTTATATAACAGATTATTGATATGTCGAGGAGGAATATGTTTGCTGCGTGATCAGCAGCGAAGAGGATTTCAAAGGTGAAGATATAAGGGGCCGTTAACCCTTGTGAGAACCGTAAAATTCAAAGAACTTCGAAGGGTACAAATCTCAATGAAACGAGGATCAAAGGAAATTTAAGATAGCCAAAGTTTCATTGTGGGGTGTCACAAATTTATTCGGATTCCATTTTTTTCATTCTGATTGTTTCCGGGATTTTCGAGAGAATTTTATAACGCGCTTCCTTAGGCATTGTTCGCCAGATTTTGCCACATGGAAAATTGGCAGGTAACAAAATTCTAAAATTACGATACTGCCGGATTGTATATCGTCCCACGTAGAAAAAAAAGTACCTATACGGTTTGTATACAGTTTACATAAGAAATCAATAATCTATACTTCACCAAACGATATTCGACTCTTTTTATCGTAAGTCAATGTTTAATCTTAAAAAATAAATTGCACAGTACGTTTGTTTCCATTGTATCTTTTTTTTCCGTCGTATCTTGGTTAACAGAGAAAATATATTTATCAATGCGTATAACTTTCTGTAGAGATTTCAACGTGCAAATAAATTCGAAGCTTGGAATAGATCGAATGCCTGTAGTACCGTATAGTACTACAGGCATTCAGTACAGGATATACAGAGATATGTATATGAGTATAAGCAAATTCGAATTAAAGTACAATGTTTTACTACAGAAAGCGACAAGTTTACAAGGGAAATGGCTTTGGAAGATACAAACTTTTCTTATACATCCGTAACTGCTAATCTTAACATGCAGAGTATACTTGTTCTCACTTATAGCAGAACTGGCATTATTCTTCGTGCCAATCAACTATGCACGTCACTCCAAAGCATTCACAGTTTTCCAGCAACCAGTTGCTCTACAACGAATCCTATTACTGCTTATTGATTTTCATGGGGGAGATCATTCCCACAGAACAACTCAGTACACTTTCGTTTACTGCTGCTGCGGAAGTGACAGTTGCTCTGAGATTAAATGATACTTTTCAACTCTACGATATTAATAATCCCAGTTATCGATACGGAGGTCGCTTCAATATTGAAGTTATTAAATTCAATTTTTATTACGTTAAATTTTTAGACGTTGATAGCGACATCACAAATCGTTATCTTATATCAACACAATTTGATATTGAACTGAGGGTGACGAGGGTCGTTGAGTGAACGATAAATCCGTCTTCTTTCCAGCACTCGAACAGTAATGACGACGGGAACGAAGGAATTGCAGCTCACAATCATTGGCGGAAATTTTACGAAAGGCTACTAGTTCGGATACAAAGGATCGAACGTCGGTTGATGCGCTTAGAAAATTTGTAATTTTAATTATTTATTATATAAGAGTGAAAGGCAAGGAGAGAGAAAGAGAAAGAGAACGTGTGCAATTTGAAGCCGAAATTTATCATAGCTTGTTCAGATATATTTCCGTTAGTCAGACGCTCGTTTATACCATGTTGCACGGTTGTTAAATATTTTATATGTGTATATCGAATATGCTGTTAAATAACGTAGTTTAAATTTGAGCGATAAACAATGGAGGCTGAAGGGTCGTGATGAAAAATATAAAGCCAATATAAAAATTATTTGGAAGCTGAAACGAGGCCTCGGGCATAAATGTATACTATAAGCTATATAGCTGCCTGTTAAAACAAAGGTACGAAATGCCAAAAAAATGTTATATTCAAGCAAATAATATTTTTTATCCTAACTATATGTATTATCGTGTCTTTGTTGAGTTAAATGATTTGTTAATTTTTAATAAATCTGGTAGCCATAGATTGTAAAAGGTACAATATTTTTACAATGTACGTAGAACAAAAAATCTATAATCGATAATTGTTCGATACAACGTTTATCGTGTCCTACTCAAGATATTCCTGTATTACGAAATTTGAAGTACGTTTCATAATCCATCGGTAAAGAGTGCATGGAATGTATATATACATATAGATATACACATATCCCACAGTTCACCTGATTTGTGCCGTTCTCCATTCAATGGGAAACCACGAGTAGAATTCAGATCCAGGGGGATAATATTCTCGCCATTCTATCTCAAGAGTATTCGTCTGCCACGCTGGGCATTTTCACGCTCGAGTATTTTGTGAAATCCGAGAAAAATTGAATGTGCGCAGGCTATCCTGTTACGTATACTTATGTTCAGAACCCGTGAAAAAAATCATTCATTGACAGGATAATACCAGGTTCGCGATAACGTATAATAAAGAATCGATATGGCAGTAACATATAACGTAATATGAAACATTCAGTCGAATGTACATATGGTGTTGAAAAATATTTTTTAATAATTAAAAAAACTACATAGTATACAGTTAAATTGGAGCTTTTTACAAAATAGTGAGTATAATTGTCTTGACGTATGATCCTTCACACATGGGGGACGAGAAGGTCGTTTGGGAAAGGGGAGACTCATAATCGAAGCACAGGAGATGCAATGAAATAATTATAGAAACTGGACACATGAGCGTTGAAGTGGATGATATTACATATAGATAATATCTGCGATTATAAAAAATAATTTGAATTTGCCAAAAAATTTTTTAATTATGATAAATACACATAGAAAGAGTAGTTTTTATAATTTAAACAAGTTTTCACAATTAAGCGAACTTTTCAAACATGTTTTTTAATTTTTGGATAACTCGTTCTATCCCAGGAGTCACATTTTCCTTTACTCGACCCCTCTCCCCTCCCCTTCCTACTTATTATATAATAACAAGCCTGCACTGACATCTTTAATATGTACATAGTATACTTACAAGTTTAGCAAGTAGTTTCGCAAAGCGCATCTCTTCTTATTGTCACTTTACTACCAGCGTGTAAGCCGTGCAATTAGTGTAGTGGACGAGGGTGGAAGATGGGGCGAGATACTGTCACATCGTACTTGTTATTCTAGGTACATTGATGCCACAAGAGGTTATGACGTTAAAATTTTAAAGTTTGGACTTATTTTCATAGCTGAGCTATAGTACGTGTAAGCATATATTATAGCATATACGTACTATACGTATATACATGGTTAAGCATTAAAAACAAAGTGAACGCACTCTGAAGATGCATTATAATTCTAGTTGGAAAGAAGTCTGGAATTTTTTGGACCTTATTTTATTGTCGCAAACCTTAGTGGGAAAAAAATTGGGACGACGTTAAAGAAAGACCGGAAGGTGGTAGGGAAACTCGCTCAGGTAAATTTTTAAAATCCAACCTGCCTTACTTTCGGCGAAACTACCCCTGTTCGTTTCCAGATGGAATGTTTATAAAAAATTTCGTTGGTCGCGGAAATAACTTTGAGTCGCAAGGCTGGCCACTTTGGTCCTTCTTGCCGACTCGCCCCGTAGGACGAAGTTTTTTCAGTTGGTAACTATTTCTTGCGTCACTCTATGCTTGGTGCTTGCCATTCAAATGTCCAAAGGATTTCGGATAGATACATTCGGCTGATACCTAAATAGTTGTATGATATATGTGTCTTAATAATTAATTAACTTACCAATTTTCAACGAATGAATGAATTTTAGGTAGGACCTTGTGAGACGAATTTTACTACGGGTATAAATGTGTCCAATATATTTTTCTCTGTTACAGAGGGACCAGTGGGATCGATATCGATCTTCGTAGAGTCGACATAGATCAGTGTCCTATCAGGCCAAATTCCTCCCAGCTGAATATTTTCGCAGCGAGCGACAAATGCAAGAAGCGAACAACCAAGGTGAGTTAAATTGATTTTCTCGCATGAGCAGATGCGAAGTGGCTGAAACTCAATTTCTGATTCTAACAGCGATATACCTTATATTTTGGAATTTTTTAAATTTCTCTCCCTGCTTCAAGAACGGATCCATCCCAAAGCTTCTTTTGTAACGTACATAGGAATCGGAAACCGGCGTTGAACCTAGTTACACCGTGGTAGAGAAAACTAACCCTCATGCCGAAAAGTCTAGATTTAACCGGGTTAGCGAGAGCAGCCCTTTAATAGCCAATAACTCAGGAGCGAATCATTACAATGCTACTTTATTGGATAGCGATGCCGAAGCTCCTCCGCATTTTCTCTACCGAAGACGAATCGTTTGTCGGTGGAATTCGATTTTACGCGGATAACGGAACGATGGTTTTTCGCGCGTTATTACGCGCAGAAAATGATATCCAATAAATACTCGATGTGTGCTCGAATGTACCGTGCGAAACTTTAACGTTCGATCGGTTCCAACTGCACGAAATTTCACGAATGAATTTCTCTTTCGGGATTCATTCGCCCGATATCTTTTACGAATCTACGGTATCCACATATTTCGCTCGAGGCACAATCTTCTTGAGATTTTGGAAATTGCAAACACACACATATATGTATAGGTATACGTAATAACATTCCCAGGAGGCTGTGACGAAATTGTGTCAATGGAGTAACATATACGTACCAGTTGAAACTGTACGGTTTTACCAAGTTCTACACCCCAAGGTATAGTTCCGTCTACCCACTCTACCCCCTACGCTCCTCCCCTATTAATAAACCAGCTGTTGTAAATCCACATCGGTCCTAACCATTGACCCATATTTCCACTCGTTGCTTTCCGCGTTGCATACTCGCGTGACGTATGGAAATTGTCTAATATTCATGCATGAGCATTAGTTTTCGTTGATTGATTTTTATTGACTTATTCACAACGTGGAAAAATCTTGTACAATTCGCGATAACCTTACGGTTGATTGAGTTCAGTTTGTAGTTCAATTTCTCCATGTATAAATAATTATGATTTTGCTAATTTTACGTCACGGTTTATACATTTGAGTATGATTGCAAGGGTTAAAAAGAATATAGGGAAAAGATAAGGTTGAGGCAAAGTTGAACCGAAAGTTTTGGATGAAAACGAATGGCAGTTGTTTCTTTTGATAAAAAGCATTGAGACTAATTCAAGGAAACAGCCGAAACTACTCAAGTACACGAGGACCAAGTCCCATCATCACTCTCGTAAAAATACTCCCCAAGTAATACAGATTTCATCTGAGCATGACAATGATTAAGCGATGAGATTTCTTTCAAGAGTCATACAGCCTCTCTTGTAGCATTACTTTTTTTTTCTTGTTTATCCCGTCACAGTTTCAAAAGAGATGAGTTGTCTTTCAATTTTTTCTACGAACGATTTATTCGTCAGCCAAAAGTGTCCGAGTTATCGCACGATGACGAACGCCCTTTTGAAATTCCTTCGAGTCATAAGAAATTTGACAAATCGAATAAGATGATGGTTTTTCTCGTTTCACTCGGTATATCTTCGAGTTCCGTTTAAAAAGCACGCTCGATTATTCTTCCCGGGAAATCAGATTGATGAGATTTATCGGTCGCGTTCGTTTCTTTTCTTTAATAAAAAAAAAGAAGGAAAAAAAGGGGGAAAAGAACGAAGAGGATACATACTAGAGGACAAAGAATGGCTGCGAGGAAGCAGCCACGTAAACGTGTTATGCAAACGAAGAAGACTTTTCATTCCGTGCTACGTTCACTCTCTCGCCGCACTATCTCGGGTTGTTACTACTTAGGAATTTATACGTTTGCTGTTGAGATAGAGACGAGGAAAGTCTCTGACGCCGAGTGAACCTTCTATAAATCATGTAACAAGTGGCTGCTGGTACTTTGTTCATGGTTTCAGGAGGCGAATGCATCGCGCTATAAATAACGTTTAATTCTAATCAGCAAGTCTACAAAGGAGAAGACATCTTGGTGTTACTAGAGCATTGCTCGAACCACATCTCTAGATGTATTATACATACATATGTATACTGTATCATACGAATGCATATATTATTTGCTTTGATATACTGAATACAATAGTAATTGCACCTACGGCGTTATATAGGTAAAACTAGTATCAGAAATATAACACCTTGGATGTGGAATAATGTTAATATATGGAGGGTTGAAAATTTTCATTGAGTACACATAATTCTTAATTAATTTATATTTAAGTAATCATTCTTTTCTAGCTGTGAATTGCTATATTTACTGTTATGAACTTTTTGTTTTCAGTGCGTCGCCATTTCAGGACTTGGATTTCGACGTGGTAGTTATCGTTGTGAGTGCAAACTTGGATTTTACTATCCCAAGACAAAGTCTACTACGCGCTATTATAATGGGACCGTCATCGAAGAGGAATATGAGAAGCTCATGCTGGTGAGTTTCATTACCATGTATCTTTCCTAACGTTAAATTCGAATCGTTGAAAATTTTATCTCCCTTGATTGATTTTAGATTGAATATTCTTGAAAATTTTTAAGAAATCATCCGTGGGAAATATCATTGGAATTTTAAATTTTCCTCGTTACTCGTATGTCTGCTCGTATTATCATTTCTTTCACATGAAAACGGATACGCTTCAAGTGATATTACGTTTACTTACTCGCGATGTCTGCGTATTAACAACCAAGACTCGTTTAAGGAGTGAAGATTTATTTTTGAAAATTCATTAAATATTTTCATTAAAAATATATGTACCGTATCTGAAAAATATTTTTGTTTCGAAGTCAATCCATATGAAGAGCTCGTTAGATATCGAGAAAAACCAATGATATCCACTGTATCGTTAGTGCTGTTAAGTGGCTGCAGATACAATCATTAGTTGTGATAAATTTCTTGAGCTGTTTTAAGACGTGCTAAAAAGAACGTGAGATTCATGGCAATCTCTGCTGTTAGTTTTTATTAGACACACTAAATTTATAGGAGAGCGTCTGCATGGAAATAATTAGAAGACAGGATATTTAATAAAATTACTGATATTATGATGTGATCTAGATTTTTTTTTCAAGTTATTTGTTTTTTGGAAATATTCAAAACAGTAGCGAACGTAGTAGAGTGTGTATGGTAGGTTTTAACGTCACGTGAAAGTTATTTTTTACGCGTGTTTCGAGGATCCTTTTTTGTTTTCTTGACGGTTTTGTGTACAATACGAAGTACCACAGACTTGTCGCCAACAATTGCTGGCCATTGGATTATGTCATTGACTTACTCGTTCAATGGCAGGAGGCCAAGCTGTGCTTTTCATTCGTATTTCCGTAAATTAAAAAAGTTTGTCTTGACCTCCCTTAGAGCCGATATAAAGGGTTCCTTGTTAGCGACGATGCTAGCGTTTTAATCAAAGCGATATTAAAACGCTGCAAAAGTTCTTCCTCGGAAAAGAGTTTTACGAACCCCTTTTGAAGTCTAAGCTGTACTGCAAGCACATTTTTATTTCTGAGAGCTTTTCTGACAAAGATACAAAGCAAGTACATCTTTATTTCTGAGCATTTCGTCTTTTTTTTCGTACATAGGTATTGAATGGACAATATATACATATATAGTTTGAGCTTTTACGTAATTAATTTATAATTTTCTTCTGGCAATACAAAAAACAAACGTGTACAATAAGACGATTAACATTTTTTTGACGAACGACAATAAAAAGGCACTGCACCAATAAAGATTCTGAGACTCGCCTAACTAATTGTTCTTCTAGGGATCGTATGCTAATTACGTATGTCACTTGAAGCGTGAAGAAAGTACTTAAAATAATTAACGGTGCCACTAGAATTTTGACCCTATAACAAGAATCTTAGCGACAGGACGATCTTAGTCAATTTTTCAAGCCAACAAATCTTTTTGCAAAATTCAATTTTCCAAAAGACTTTAACGAAAGTTTACTGTCTTCCTATTCAACTAAAGCACTCGTTCATTACGTTATACGATAGGTTTTTCTTTCTCTCGTATTCAGCAACGGTGCAATAATTTCTGAAAATGCTTAATCTCTGGCTTTTCTCGAATTTATTGAGAATTCATGAGGTGCTGATATACGGCACATTGGTAACAATTCTCCCCTTCTCTCCGAGAGAGCGCTTGTTGTCAGTACCGGTTGCAAAGACTGCAGGCGTTCACTGACAATTTATTCCACGCTATCAATTACCTTGAACAGTCTGCGGGATTCTCTTGGGCGTACCGCAAACGCCAGCGTTGGTACATCCACACGTTAATTTGATTGCTATCTCGGCGATTTTGCAAAGTGCTCGTTTGGTATTAAAATCGCTTCGCGAAGCGGCCACCATAGCAGTATTGGAAACCAAGATCACAATGCGTAAGGGAGTTAAAAATGTTCATATCAGTATATACGAGTGACTGAGAACACTCTATAAACGTCTTATCATTTGATAGCGATCTTGTAGTCCACATGCAAAATTTCTCCCGTTATAACTCGTTACTCATAATAATCCTGGGAATGATGTTTCACAAACATCCCTTAAATGTCTGGTAAACGCAGAAAGGATTTACAAAAAGTCAGAAGTCTTGTTCTCCTCGGTGGAAATACTCCTGTCAAATCACAACCTTCTTAGGCTTCTTACGCAAACATAATAATTTTATACGACTTATACTACCCCTTTGTCCCTATTGTCGCTGGAGGCAGTCGATTTTGCTTCAGTTCGCAATCCTTAGAAAGTCCCACGAGTACTTCCATCGATGTACGAAAATTATATACTGAAGTAAAAAAGTAATAGACATTTCAGTAAAAAAACTATACGAATGTATACTTTGTAAAAAGAATTTATGCAAAACCACGTGTAGCTTATTCAAAAAGACCGTTGGTTTTGATCTGTCAAATTAAAAAATACATTAAAATCGTGAACCGACTACACGTGCTTTTAGTTACGCGAATTAATTAGTACGAGCTTGTTCTCTACAAAATTTTTTCGACCATGTTTACCATGAGAGTGGAAATGAAGTATTTTACCAGGTTAAATATGAAGGAGTCATTCGAAGCTTTCGAAGGATCATTTTAATTCAATGAGATTCCATAGAATTGAATTGACTTTATACAAGTGGACGTTCAAATTCAAAACTTACGTAATTTTAAATTCTACGTTTGCTTCTAGCTTGGTGTGTACAAGAATTATTTTTTAATCGTACTACTGATTAATGTTGTCACCTATAGCTATAGGGTAGTTTTTTATACGAACGTATGGGACAAACAATACGTTCATTTTCTGTTGCACCTGCAATGCATAATAATGGTCTACGATGCGATTCCTTAAAATGTTAAGGTTATTATGAAATAACTACCTGCAGGATTGTCGTGCTTTCACAATGGTATTTATTGAAAGTGAAATTACGTGATTTAAATACATGAATTATTCGGTGGACCTTACCGGTAAGCGTCTGCGGCTTTCAGTTTGCAAAATTAATTATACTTGTCGGTGAACCGAATTCCCTACATTGTTAATCATTCCACCGTTGGTGAAGGATGGATTATATTATATCGATGCTCAAATGTATATAAATGTAATCCAGCTCGAAATCGTATCGCCAGTATTCAACTCTTATAAAAATCTTTTGTTTGATATTTTTTGTTATGTTATTTCTCTTTCACCCTGTATAAGCATTTTAATAATTTAGAAAATTTCACAGCAATTTTCTGACTGACGACAGTGTTTCTGCACTTTTCTACTATTTTTAGCGGAACTTGCGTGAAAACACTGCGAAAACTCCTCAAGTTGAAAAACGTTTTTTTTCTTTGTCTTTTTAGTGTAAAACTAAAGGTGAATGATGATCCAGCTGAGCTTCATTAACGATTTGCACATATAATCTATAATTAAAATTTACGGTTGAATCCCGGGTCAGTGCTGTACATATACCATATTCATGTCCTTCGGCGGTATGATAGCATTGCGGAAAATGTCTCGTCGGGTTCTGGTTTGGCACAAGATTCTCTTTACGACTGTAGTATGCGTATCATCCTCGTAATATTGAATATTATAGGAAAATAGTCCTTCTTTACTTCCCTACTTAATTATAATGAAATAATGTGACGACACAATATGCCGCGACACATTTGATGAAAAACAGTTAATTGACAGGCTTGATTATAATTAAATGAATTTATATTATAATCAACAAACAGATATATACAGGGTGTCTCACCGAAAGTGCACACCTGAATTATCTCGGTTACTAATGAAGATACGAGAAAAAGTTTCAGACAAAAGTTGTATGGTATCAAGGAGGTCGATTTTTCATCCAAATGATTTTTTTTATATTCATTTGATTTCGAGGTACAATACGTTACATGTTTTTTTTTTTTTTTTTTTTTTAATGGAAC